AATAGCTTTAATACCTACGGAGGAGTTTAGGAGAATCGACTAGCTAATAAGGTTATTGCTAGTAAGGATTACGGTGCATTAAAGCAGCAGTAAGTTAGCGTAGTAGATTAGATGCTTAGGAAGTTGTTTATATATATTAATAGAATCTAGGAACAATGCTACCCCGGGGGTGTTATTACGGAGTTTCTAAAAAATAGCCTTAACTGCGATGCCTAAGGTGCCCTATATAACTGTTTGTTTGTTTTAAGCGCGCAATGTAAAGCGTGTCTAGTTAGACACGAAGAAAGGGAGGGATATTAGCTAGTAACCGGCCCTATACACCTAGGCTGAGTTTTAAGCCTATATAAGAGGCCTCCTTCTGCATTGTAGATAGAGCACTAACCTCGTATAGCATATTGTTTATGTCACACTTCTACAATGCCTATATTGCAGGGCTCTAGTTATTAGCCTAAGCAACCGTCTTATTATCCTATTATACTAAACATAGCTGCCTATATTGCTATAGGTTATGTTACCCTCGGTAGCCTATACTATTACTACTAGTAGTAGTAGTAGTATTAGTTTCCGTCCTTTACTAGGCAAGGCAAGAAGGAGTACCTCCTAAGATAGTAAGGCTATTTACCTAAATAGGACTCGTAGGAGGCCGAAGACTCGTTTAAAGATATAGCTAAGTTATTAAATAAGTATTAGACTAGTGTAAAGAACAAGAAGAAGGCTAAGGGCCTATAATGTCGCCTAGGAATAATACTACCCCCGGGATACTATTAGCTAACTAATTAGAGGCAAGCAATTATTAGCAATAAGGGACAATAAGACTATACTACTATAGTAAACGCGCACCGAGTGTTAATAAGCGCGCTATAACGCGTTAATTAATTACCTGCTCTTCTAAAAGATATCTACCTCTCTATTACCGAGCTCTATAGGTCCCCCTCTTATTTATTTATTCTATCGAGGCCTCGAGGCCTAGGCAATCGGCGAAGACGGCGCGGCTATATTAGTAACGGTGTTGCGGAGTATATTACTATTTTAAGAAGGAAAGACACGACTATATTAGTAATAGTATTACAGAGTGTATTATTAGTTAAAGCGTTACTAGTCGAAGAAGGAAATTAGGAGTAAGGTAAAGTTAGCGCTAAAACGACTAGCGCCGCTATTATTAATATTACTTACTATTATCGCTATACCTACGAAGACAACCTTACCTATACTACGAGCCTAAAGCACTATACTAACTATATTAAAAGATTAAACCTGCTAAGGGTTTAATTAAAACTTTAAGGCTAAGTCAAAATATTAAGGCTTAAAAGATTAAGTAGCTTAATAGACTAACTAATTAAGGGCAAAAACTATAGAGCTAAGCTAGCTAGGGTCGATCTTGCGGACAATAGGTTACTCCTCGATCTTTCCGATCCTTTAAGCGAGGCGAACCTTAACTATTGTACTTATAATAGCCTTTACCTATAGAAACTAGACGAACTGTGTTTTTTTAAAAAGATAAGATAAGATTGACAATTAAAGGCTACTAAACCTAACTAATTAGGGCTAGTAAAACCACGATAGTAAATAATAGCCCTCGTAATAATAAGAACAACCCTCGGAAGCGGACATTGCTAGGTCTTTTAAGAGTAGACGTAAAGAACTCGATACAACATTACTTAGAACGGAGGTAGTGCTATAATACCTCGTACGCCTACCTATTATAGTAGGGAAGGCGCGCTCGTATTATAATTAGTCGATAGTCCTTAATTCTGTTAGTTATATATTACTTATTATATATAAGGATAGTATAGTTAGAGTTAAACATTGTATTGTATTAGAGGTAAGGTTTGATATAGTTATATAATTAGGTAGTTAAGCGTTTAATTTAGCGCGGACTAAGCGGCTTATTAGACCTACTAAGTTAGTAGCAATAGAGGTTAAGATTAGAATATAGACTAGCTACGAGGGCGCGGCCTTCGGAAGGGAAGCGTATATTAGGACTAAAGAGGTTATACGTAATTAGTATATAACTAGGCCGAGTAAAGCTAGGGTCTTAGTGCCTTAGGTAGGGCTTAGCGCTTAGCGTTAGGATAACTAGCCTGCCTTCCTCCCTCTCCTCTTAGACCTCTATCGAATACTACACTAATTTACTACTACCCTATCTACCTGCTAACATAACCCTTCTTATAGATAATATAATCGCCGCTTCTATAGTAGAAGCCGAGACTAATAATACTCGAGCCCGTAGCTATAGCTATCTCTTAGTGGACTATAAGCTTACTATTATTAGAGTAGCTATAGCAATTGCTTATAAACGTATCTCTAGTAAAATTTAATAGTAGAATACTAAGCTAAAGACTATTATAATAGCTTATTAGCTAAAGGACGAGCCGACTATTAGTAACGCTATAACCTTTCTATATTAACTAGTCTACTAGCGTATAGAAGCTAGGCGTGCTATTAAAGCGGCTTCTAGTATAGTAGTTATAAATATACTATAAGACTAGTTACTAGATAAGGCAATCGATACTATATTTTAGCTTAATAAGATATAGCAAAAGAGGGTATTAAAGCTATAAGAACTAAGTATCTATAATATACTACTATAGAATATACGAGACTATATACTATCTACGCTATCTTAGCGGACTAATAGCTCTAGTAACGGTAAAGTAAGGGCTCTAGTACTAATACTAAGTACCGCTATAGCTCTATCTCCGATAGCTAATCTACCTATTCTAGCGACTTCTTAATATATAGAGGTTATCGACTTATCTACGCTAAGTATAGGCGATAGTAATAACACTATATAGCTTACTAAGCGTTTTTAATTAGACTTCGAGTCTAAACGGCTCTAGCCTAGTTCTTAGATATAAAGAGCTATACTAAAGGAGATATTATCGCTTATATTTAAAACGCTAAAAAATACTAGCTAAAGGACGTAGCGCTAGACGAAGATTGTTATCTATAGATACCTCTACTAGTAGTCTCGCTAGCGAGAGACTCTATATACTAAGTCCTACTAGATATATAAGCGTAGAAGAAGATATAAACGCCGGAATACTAGTAGACTTAAGAGTTAGTACCGCAATTAAAGCTATTAAGCTATAGATAGTATATTAATAAAACGCTACTAAATTGCCTATACAATCTTATATAGACCGTTATCGTTGTTATTTACTTTCTAGCGCTAAAACGGCGCTATTCGCGGCTTCTTATATATGCTAACCGGCTAGAAACCTACTACGCAAGGTGCCTAATTGCGAGCGAAGCTCGCCTTATACTAACAAGGGGTACTATAGTAGCCAAATGTGCTAAGTTGCTACTACGTAACTCCCCGGATTTCAGAATTCTAAAGATCTAATTGGCTGCATTCTATACGAACTAGTAGGACGGAAAAACTCGGCGCCCGAATAGCCTTAGGCAAGAATTTCACGTCACTTCCTTGTTACGAGCGAAGCTCGCCTTACAATAGCAACGTAGGTACCAATCCAGTTGCTAGAATACGCACTCAGCCATACGTAACGCTAAGCCGACCCCGGATTTCAGAATCCTATATACCTAATTGTTCAATTACTATAAGTAGAGACTTTCGGAGCTAGCGCCGGTATCTCCGAACAAGCGCCGACGTCCCGAACAAGCGCCGACTTCCCGAACAACCGCTAGTAAAGCCTTTTGCCTTCCTTCTAATACTTTAAATATATAGTAAAATATATAGTAAAATATACAAACAATTAATAAGAAAATTAATAAGAAAATTAACTAAAACATTAATAAAAGAATTTATAAAACAACTTTTAATAAAAGAACCTATAGAAAAATTAATTTTAATTATAGAAAACATACGATTTAAATTTATAAAATTACCGAAAAATATTAAAGGAACGAGAGCGAGAATAAGAGCGAGGAACCCTAAAATTCGCGGCTCCGCTATACTAGGTATATATAAAATTTAAAAACTCGCGGGCGCTACCGCTATTACTACGTAAGTAGAAGGAGCAGAAGTACTTACGTACGGGTACTATCCTAGTTAGTAAAACAATTAACAAAACAACAAACAAAACAACTAATAAAACAACTAATAAAACAACTAATAAAACAATTAATAGAACAATCAACAAAACAATTAATAAAACAATTAACAAAACAATTAACAAAACAATTAATAAATCAATTAATAAAACGATAAATAAAACAATTAACAAAACAATTAACAAAACAATTAACAAAACAATTAATAAAACAATAAATAAAACAATAGTAGAACAATTAGTAAGGCAATTAATTAAATAATTAATTAAACAATTAGTAAAGCAATTAGTTAAACAATTAGTTAAACAATTAATAAAATAAATTATATTCTAGTAAATAAATAACTTATAATAAAGTTAAAAAGAAGGTAAATAATAAACTAGAGAAGAAACTAAATAATAAAGCAAATAATAGATTAAATAAAAAACTAGAGAACAAAGTAAATAATAAACTAAATAATAAGCTAATTAATAGACTAAATAATAAGCTAGTACTAAACTAAGTAGTAAGATAGAAAACAAGTAATAAATAAGGATATAAATAAGAGGACTTAGACGTATTAGAAAAAAGAAAACATATAATAAAAATAAATAAGAAAATATAAAATAGGTAAGTAAAACAAGTAAGATACTAAATAGAAAAACTGTAAAACATTAAAGAAAAAAATTAAAAATAGTTTTTTTAATAATATAAAAAGTAGTAATAGATATAAAAAATTAGAGAAAACTAGAATAAAAGTAAGTAATATATATAAAGTTAAAAATAATAAAGTAGTATCTAAAATACTAGAAAAGAAAAATAGCAATACAAAAATATAAAAATACTTATTCCTAATAAACTATTCTAATAGAACTAAATCGTATAATAATAGTAATAGCTTTAAGGTCTAGCTTCGAGGTCTAAAGAACCGAATTAGCTTAGTATATATAAGGCGAAAGCTTCGCTCGCACTCCTCTAGGCACGCGCTAGCCGCCTAGGAGCACATTTTAGCAGAGAAGAGCACTCTGTATGGCCGAGTAGAGGCTCTCGTAATCGTTATCTTGAAAGTGGCTGCATTGTTGCTTCTCGTGATGCAGACATAAATGCCGTCCCGTCCCAGCTGAGCGAGTGAAGCAAGACGGTGGAAGGCAAAATGGAAGCTGGCACGCCATCTCTCGCCTGTTGTCGCCGCTCCTCGTTGCCCCGCAACACGAAAAGCCGCCATGCACGTCAACGTGAACGTGTCAATATGTTTTCCTTCGCACCTCTTCGTCTCTGTACGAGAGCATGTGAGAGTCTCGCCCCATAGCAGTGCCCCAACATGCCGTACAAGGCGCCGACAGCAGCCAAGCCAACAAAGGCCATTTTCGACCCGTTCAACTCGAGCGCCACCGGCCACCAGCGAGCAGACAATACTTTGAGCGGAAGCACATCATGGCGGGACTCGCGACACAAAAAGCTGCGCGAACAGTTTTCAGCAGGCGCGGGCGGTGGCAAGAGAGTCAGTGATACTGTCGGCGCTGGCAGCCTCGATTTTGGGAAGGATGGTCGCACAGAAAATGGCGGATGGGAGCTTGGTGCCGCGGGTCTGCGCACTGGTGGACAGCAGAGCATATGGGACAGCATGAAGGTCAGCAAAAGCGAAGGCGACCCGGACAGACCATCGAAGCGTATCAAGACGGAGAAGATAGAGCCCCAGCGTCAACCAACGTCCGCAGTCAATCCGTTCACGCCGTTCCGGAAGCAAAACGGCAAAATACGAGAGAGCAGTTGGCCGTCGTCGTATGCCGAATGCTCGCCTTCAGACCTTCTCTCGCCCATCGACCCTCTTGATTCGCCCCAGCAAACGCAAGCTGAGGATACGAAGGCTGAATTAGCAGATGAGGAACTTGGAGATGATACCGAAACCGAAACCTCCAGATCGATACCGCCTCAGATCTTCAACAACCTATGCTTCTACATCAACGGTTGTACAGCACCAGTGTCTGATCACAAGCTTAAACACATCATCAGTACTCACGGCGGGAACATGTCAATAGCGCTGGGCAGGCGGACAGTCACGCATGTCATTCTCGGCAAACCGAACGCGAATGGTAGTGGCTGCGGAGGCGGTCTGGCTGCAAGTAAGATCCACAAAGAGATCACACAGATGCGTGGAAAGAGCGCCAAGTTCATCACCGCGGATTGGGTCACCGAAAGCATCAAGGCCGGCAAGAGATTGCCAGAAAGCAGATTTGAAGCCATGAAGTTGGCGCCGAAAGGCGTTGCGAACATTAGCACTATGTTTAGGCCGAAAGAGAAGGCATAAAGGAAACGACAGCGAGCGTGTATTATTTTTCGATCAAGATACCCGAAGAGAGTACAGCGTACCTCTTCACGCATACATATTGCGTTACTTGCGAACAGCTCTATACCCAAATATCCTATCACGCACGCTCACAACTTCATAGAGAAACGAACAATAGGCGATATCGTCCGTAGTCACGCAGCAATACCATTGCGCGATGTCTGAAACAGTTGATCAGTACCATGTCCTCGCCATTGAATCCTTGACGGCTTCATAAACCTTCGTAAGAACAAGCCTCACCCATGTCGACCGCGAAATGCCGCTCACCATAACTATCCAGGGTTCCGTTACACACTTCACGCCCGCTGATCGCGGGGATTCTAGCTATACGTAAAATCGCTTTTTCTTAGTAGGCTACACGTAAATATCGATAAAGTAGTAGTTTCTAGTCCTATTCGGATGTCTAGTTATATGCGGTATGAAACCGCGAGTCTAGATATTATATTAGCGAGTTTATCCGAGTATATAGTAGCTATAGACCTTATTGTCGCCATTTCCTTATATAATCCTTAGTAGGCGCGTCTACCTTATTCTAAAGCGTATATTCCTCGTATTCCTTCTATTTCTTCTCTTCTACTATACGAATCGTATAGAAAACTTAGTATAGGGCGTAAAAAGGGCAAAAAGGTAAAGAGGGTATATATCGAGCGGTTAACCGAGACGGAGAGGGCAGAGAGGGTAGTAGAACGCGTCGTTTCGAGGTATTACGAATTAGAGGCTAAATCGGATAAGAAGGTTAGTATTCGAGGGCTTTATAAGGATAAGAAGGCAACTAGCCTATATTCTCGTATTTACTAGCGGTTAAGAGGCCGTAGATCGCTATTTAGTCGACCGTAGACTAATACTAAACTAGACTATTCTTAAGAGCTAGCGCTAGCGGATTATTGTCGAGAGAGGGACGCGATAGGTATATTCTTACTAGTAGCGTTAATCGTTATCGTAGCAATAGAGATACTAGTAAGCCTACTACTAGAGGGAGTCTCGAAGGATATAATACTACTATTTAGCGTAGATTAGGCGGACCGCTTTCTTAAGCGCTATAGACTTAGCAAGGTTAAGTCTAAACTAATTAAGGTATAGCGGAAGGAGGCTTACGACCCTTCTATAATAAGGAGCTAGTTTAACCGCTTTAAGGCGATAATTAAGCGACTAAATGTAAAGCCGCGGAATGTATAGAATTTCGACGAAACTAGCTTCCGGATTAGAATTAGTAGCAATAAGTATATCGTTATAATAGATACGAAGCGGCGCGCCTAGACCGAGTGTAATAGCAACCGTACGTATATTACTATCGTCGAGACCGTTAACGCCTTCGGTAAGGTAATAGACTATTAGTTAATTGTTAAAGGTATAATAGTCTAAGAACGTTAGGTACCGAAGGAAGGTAAGTCTATTACTACTACTATTACTACTTCCGAGTCCGAGTCCGCTGCCGAGGCAACGTCGCTTACTAACTATACCTCGTTCTTAGGCAAAGACAACTTCTTAATTACTGTTAACGAGTCTAGCTATATAACTAACGATACTATAATGCACTATATCCGTTAGTTTAAGCGGAAGACAAGGCCTAAAGACCTAGAAGAATAGAGGGTGCTCCTATGCGATAATTACGGCTCCTATTGCTTTAAGGAGTTTGCGGCCTTTGCAAAGCGCTATAATATTTAATTATAGGGCCTACAACTATACACCTCTCATTTTATACAGCCTTTAGACGTTATCCTGTTCTAGGTGTATAAACTAAGGCATAGGCAAGCAGTTTTAGAGGCTATATACCGTAGTATTAGTAAATTCGGAATACCTAAGTTCATCGAGGCGCTCTCGGCTATTCGTAGCAAGACGTTCACCTCTTATAATATAAGGTTAGCATTCCGGAAGATAGGCATATTCCTAATTAATAGAGAGGTCCCTTATAGGCATATTCGAGATTAGTATAGAGCTACTAACTATAACTAGAACTAGCAAACAATCGAGGGCGAATTAGTATAGGAAGAAGCCCGCTATAATAAATCGCTAGCAATAGCGGAGGTCGCTTAGTAGGAGCATATCGCATCGGTTAAGTAACAACGTTCCGTAGAGCCCGCTATTATCGATCTAGAAGGCTAGGCTTACGCTAATAGTCGCTATTACCTCGGGGATCTCGAAAACTTAATTACTTAGAGTATACTATCGTTACCCCCTACGCTACCTTAGCGAATACTAACACCCGAACTGCCGCAATAGCTCCTTAATACTACGACTAGCCCTCGTACGATTAAGGCGTCTCGTAGTGCTATATAAGCTCGCAAGGACTTCCGACGTTCTTATCTAAAACTAGCCCCGTAGGGTATCGATCCTATATTACTATTATTTAACCTATTTTCCTCGTTACCTACGAAGCAAGTAGAAGAGGCCTATACTATCTTAGTTAACGCGGCTATCTGTAAAGGCGAGGAATACAAGCGTAAATACTAGTCTACGAGTATTATTAAGCGAGCAAAGAAGCGATAGAAGGAGTAGCCTAATCGGCTTATAAGGGCAGGTACTATTAAGGCGAATGAATTGCGCTTACAAGTTATTCGAGCGGAGCGACAGATTTAATAGGCACCTAGAGCAACCTAAGCGAGCGAAGCGAGTAAATAGTTATAGAAGGTGTCTAGTGAATCTAGCGTAGAGCTCGAGAACAAATTAGATTAGTGCTATATAACGTATAGAGGGAGGCTAAATTTAAAAGATATGCCCGCAAAACAGAGCGCGCGATATAATTAGTTAATAATTCGAATCGCAATTACGTATATCGAGCCTAAGGCTATTCCTTCTACTTTACGTTACTAACAACTATAATAACAATAGCTATTATTATAATATTGCACGAATCTAACTTTGTTCTCGAGCTCTACGCCGTCGCTCCGCTTGAATAGGACAAGCACTATAGGGCTTAAACGATACTTTATACAATAAGACAAGGACCTAGCTAATAATAACCGCCGTAAGATGCTATAAGAGGTATAGAATGCCGTCGAGAGGGCACGCTTATATCGGCTTAAGTGTAGTAAGGCCTTCCGTATCGTATTTAATAACAATAGTAAGACTAAGTAGACAGACGTCGAGCTTTAGTCTATCGATAAGCCGCTACGGCGTGTCTTCGATAGGCGGCTTCTTACTACTAATAACAATACCTTAAAGAAGACCGGCGATCTATATACGACTATTCTTAATAGCTATAAGCGCGGCACTAATATAACTAATAGCGGCGACGTTAGCTACTATTAGAGCTAGATAAGGACACTGCTACTACCGACTCGCACTTACGACTATAAAGAAGGCGATATTCTAGTATAGACCGTTAAGCCGAGGCGACTGCTAAATAGCCTATTCGCGTAAGAGCCTAACACTCGATCGGACTAGTTACAATAAGACGAGGCGCTACTTAATAAAGATACTATATACACTATAATATAGCCTTATTTAGTACCTCCTCGCCGCCGCTACGAGTCCGTCTAAAGCAAGCGCTATTTCTACTACGCTCCGAAGAATCGAACCGTTATAAAGGCGCGGTCGCTAGTAGCAAGAACAACCCTATTAAATTAGAAGAGGTAGACAGTAGATATAGTAGTTAACTATTTGCTTAGTAAGAAGAGGTAGTAGTTATATAATAGACATATAGGCCGACTAGTAAAGTAATTAACTATATAGTTGACGCGAGGTATGCGCGGAGGCCGACTTTTGGTCTATTCTAACTGCCTACGGTCGCAATTTAGTCGCTAATATACCGGAAATCTACTGCTTCTTAACCCTTATTACACTTATATTCAGTTTCCTACTATATGTGCCCTATAACATTACTATTGTCGAGTTTTACGTGTGGCCTACTAAGAAAAAGCGATTTTACGTATAGCTTAAATCCCCGAGCTGGGGCGAGGGGTGAAGTGGGCTGACGCAACCCCGGATAGGGTGATAAGGAACAACGATATGGCTCCTGCTTCGTATTGATGCCAACTCCTTCTCATCATCGACCTCCTACTACGCCATCAACACGCCAAACCAGTACACTCGTTTAACAACAAAAGCGCCATTAACACGCCAAACCAATACACTCGTTCAACAACAAAAACCTCTATCACCACTCAAAACGACCGCAAGCGACCAAGAATCTTACCTCACTACCTACGTCTGCATCAGTCGCGATGCATTTCCTCAAGGCAATCTTCTTCTTCGCAGCCGGCATCCACGCTGTCGCCATTGCATCCCCAGAGAAAGACGATGTCTCTATTATGAGCAGTCTGGACAACCTCAACTTCAGGAACGCAGATGGAGAGAAGCCTTGCTTTCACCCGGGTGTGGAATTCTGCTAGTCCTGAGTCTACGTCGAGACAAGTTGAAGGATGGAATAAGGGCTGGAAGAAGCGGAGGTGGTTGACAGCGGAGTCAAAGTCAAAGGGAGGAGTGATCAGGGAAGGCGGAGGGGAGAAAGGAGGATAGTCATGGTGAAAAGTTTGCCTGATGGGTCTTGGTTTCTTATGTCCTGCGCTGAAGAGGTCATAGCCGAGCTGGTTGGTGGTGGTGGCATCACAGTGTCACTTGATGTAACTGATGATTCAGAAGAGGGCTAATCTACAGAAAGCCTAAAGATGAAGTGTGCACAGTTGCAGCCTTAGGCATTATGCACGTGATAGCTAGCTATACACACACTCTCCAAGTTACCCCCTTATCGCGTATATACAGCTAAACAAGCAAACTACTAAGGCAAACAAAGGGGTATTAGGTATAGAAACAACTAGACTACTTTTAGGCTAATTAAACAAATAAACATATAACATGTCGCCGACCTAGGACTAATGCTACCCCTAGGGTGTTATTAGCAAACTATCTATTTAGTACTTAGTAGCAGGCTAAGCGGCGCTCTTAATCGCAGCCTTATAATCTACTAAGTTTAACTACTAAACAAAGCGACTATACTTAAGCTTATTAAGCGGCTTAGTAAAGCTATTAGCGATCTAGTCGTACGTACTAATCTAGGTAATAGCGACGGTGCTATTAGCGATCTTCTCGCGGATATAGTAGACTCTAGTATCTATATGCTTAGTACGGCTATTAATACTCGTCGACTAAGTAATAGCGATTGCTAACTAATTATCCTCGTATAGCGTAATAGGCTTAATAGTGCCCTTATAACTAATTTCCTCTAACAACCGAGCTAGTGCTATAGCTTCCTTAGCGCTAGTTGTTAACTAAACATACTTAGCCTCTATAGACGATAGAGTAACTAAGGTCTAGCGGCCTAACTTATATAGTAATAGTCTACTAGCGAGTATAAAGTAGAAGCCGCCTATAGAGCGGCGAGTAACCGGATCGTTAGCCTATAAGGCATTATAGTAACTAGCGAGATTAAGCTTATTGTCGTTCTACGTACCTTAGAAATACAGACTACGGCTTAGAGTGCTAACTAGGTACTTAATAAGCTAAAGAAGTGCGGTATAGTGTTCCTTAGTCGGGTTAGAAATGTATCGTAATAACAGGCCTATAGTATAGCAAGCATTAGGTCGAGTAATTATTGCTAGCTATAGTGCTTTACTAACACCTTCCTAATACTAACTCTTAAAGGTAGCGCTAGCAGTATAGCCCTTAGGTATACGCTAAATCGATGTCTTAACGTATCGAGGTACTATTAGCGTAGCCGGTACTATACGGCCCTGCATGCTATACTTCTTACTAAGCCTATTTAAATAGGCATCTTAAACGACGTAAATAGTACGCTAGTTGCGGTCGCGAATGATCCGCATACTAAGATAGTAGTAAAGGTCGCCTAGTTCTCGTATATTAAAGCGGTCCTTTAGTAACTAAGCAACGGCTTCTAGTACTAATAGAGTATAGGCGATAATGATTATATTATCTACGTAGATAACAATAATAGAGCCGCTAACAATGTGTTTAAACACACACACATTAGCTACTATCGGCACGAAGTCTAGGCTCTTTAGGTACTTTCGAAGCTCTTCGTACTATAGCATTAGTAACTGCTTTAAACTATATAGTGCCTTTAGCAATAGACAAACTATAGCCTTGCTACTACGGTCTTTAAAGCTATATAGCTGCTCGATATAGATCTTATATTTATTACCGATAAGCGTATTAAGGAAGGCCGTTAGAATATTATATTGCTTAGCCTCTAGGTCGTAATAGGCGATTAAGCTAAATAGCGCTCGCAGCGTAGACGGCTTAGCGACAGCTATATAGGTCTTATTATAGTCCTGTCCCTCAACCTAAGTAAAGCTACGGACAACCTATCGAGCCTTAAACCGGCTTACCTTGCTATTAGCGTTACGCTTAATAGTAAATACCTATCGGCTACGGACAACCTTGCGACCTCTAGGTACTTCTAGCCGAGAAACGTGTACCTATATATAGTTGTCTATTAATAACTTGTATTTAGCCTTATAGGCCTCCTTCTATTATAGCTAGTACTGCGACTCCTTAGCGGCCTTAAAGCTCTTCGGAATTGGAATAGTATCGTTAGGCTTCTATTTAGCAATATAGTAGGCGGCTATAAAGCCCTTTATATAGGCTATTAGTATGTTAGCTAGGGTGCGGCGCTCTCTACGATAGGCGCCTACGTCGGCTAGATAACTACGTAGCAGTTTACGAGCGCTCTTGTTGCTTCGTGTCTTGCGTATAGAGCGACTATTAGTCTTAGTCGGCCGCTTAAACTTAGGCAACTAACTAGGTTTACCCTTCTTAGCCTATAGATTATATACAGGCTGTTCCTTAGCGGATTAGAAACTATCCTTATTACTTAATAGAGGTTGAATAGCCGGCAGGTCGTCCTCGTTTAGTAGTAGATTAGCAACCTAGTCCGCTACGTCGGTATTTAGCTCTTCCGCAGGTGCGTCTTATTAAGCCGGAAGCTGCTAGACTATACTAGCTACTTCTATAGGTAGAATCTCATTCGTTGTACTATTAAACAAAGCCGGTATAATAGACTTAATAGTAATAAACTCGCTCTTAGACGGGTTATTAGGGTTGGTATATAGCGCTATACTATTAGGCAGTAAGAGCTTACTAGATTTAATAAACTAGACATCCTTTGAAGTAACTACCTTATACTTAGCCGGTAGGTAGATTATGTATTTGCCGGAGTCTACTAAGTGCTTAGCATAGCTAACAAGCTTACTAATACGGCTACGGGCATTAAACTTCTTGCTACGAGCTACGCTATAGTTATAGACAATAGTTATGCAGCCGTACGCGCGTAGGTGCTAAGTACGAGGCTGCTTTCGAGACTAGTTAAGCTCTTTAGCAATAACGGTGTATAGACTATCTCTACTAAGTAACTAGCTTAGTGTAATGTTAAGGATATGCGTAGCAGCACTAACTGTATATAGCTACAGAGACTTTAGCAAATTAGTATATAGTATTATCTTCTAAGCAGTCGTATATATAATGTAATTACTAACCTTAGCAAGACCGTTCTGTATAGAAGAATGAGGTGCTATTACTTATAGAACAATGCTATTGTCTCGAGCCTATTAAAGCAGGCTGTTTCTACCGTACTTATTCCCTCTATCTAGGCGATATATAGGGATTAAGTAACTAGTCTATATACGGACATATATACGGTGTTCCTTTATTGCTACTATAGCACCTAACTTTAGTATACTAGAATATTCGTAACGATAGGTTAACTTAGCGTATATAAACAACGTAAAATAGCGCTCTTATAATAGGCTAGGGTTAGTAATAGTAACTACATCTATACAGACAATATAGTAGATTGTAGAGGGTCGTATCCGTAATAGCTAGTTATATTCCTTATACGCTATAGACATACGACACGCAATGCAGTTATAGAAGTCCTTCTTCTTATTACTAACAATAACGATCTAGCTATTAGCTTCTATTTAAAGGAGCTTGCTATAGTGAATATAACTATAGCGTAGGTGCTACTTATCTATAGTGCCTGCCGGTACCCCCTTCTTCGATAGAAGCGCAATAGCCTGTTGTCTAGAGGTAGGTATAAGTAGAAAGGGCAGGCTATCCTTGCGGTAGGTTTGAGCGATAGTGACCTTATTACCCTTAGCATTATATGTAAACAAGACTCGCTTATTATTGCGGTAGAAGCAGCCCTTGTCGGCCAACTTCTCGGTAGACAGAAGGTTAGCTGCTAGACCTAGAATATATAGCGTCTTAGACAGTCGTAGTATGCTAATAGCACTATGCTTATTAACTACCTTAGTGCTAGCAACGCCAATAAGCGTAGCGTACTTAGTATTGCTACTAAAGCGTATAGGAATGCTATAACCCTCGTATTCTATAAGAAGCGAGGCATTATTAACTATGTATATACTAGTACCCGAGTCTACGACCTAGTTAATAGTACGTATAGCAGCAGTTAGTACTATAGAAGCCTAGTCGCTAACAGTAACAGTAGCATTAAAAGACTATTAGTAACTAGTCCTAGGCGGCGCTATATCCGTCCGAGGATCGTTATAGAATAAGGGTAGTGTCCTATTAGTATATAAACCCTATAGAGCCGTAGTAGGCGGAGCTAGCGGCGGTTGCTGTTGCTAAGTAGTTAGTATACGCTACTGCTTCTTCTTAGCCTTCTACTGTTTACGTCGCTATCGATCTTCTTCCTTTAAATGCGGATATTTGTTATAGTAGCGGTTAGAAGGGTGCGACCCCTAATAATAGGCGCACTTCTTACGGTTAGACTAATAACTATTCTAGTTGCTTCTACCGCGGCCTCGACTATTATTATTATTATTTCCGCGGCTACTACGACCGCTACGGCTCGAGTTACCTCGACTATTGCTATTGCTATTAGCACCCTATAGCTACTAGCGCTAAAGACCGGAAAAGCTATTATATTAGGCCTAGTTTAATTAAGCTATATTCTTATTAAGCAACGCGCTAATAATGTTGTTAAGGGTACTGTTATTAATAGTGTACTCTAAGGCTCGCATTTGCTTACGGCGCATCTATACGAAAGCCTCGTAGAACGGTGCAATTTGCATAATAAACATATAGACAGCCTAGTACTAACTAATAGCTAATTTAGTGTCTTTTAAGGCACCGAGCTTCTTCTTATATTCGTTATAGAACTTCTTAACGTCCTTGCTATCGTAGCGAAGGGTAATGTAGTCCTAGAAGAGTATAAATTTAGTAGACCTACTTTTACTAGTATACTTCTTATATAGATAACTCTATACTGCCTAGGAGGTATCGAGTCTAAGTAACGACTACTAAATCTCCGATATATAGTTAGCGAATATCTACGTACGCGCTAACTAGTCCTTTGCCTCCTATTTATCTTAGTAGTCTTCAAATTGCTCCTATGTTTTAGTAGATAATAGCTTAACTTTAGGCTTTAGGCGGGTCCCCTAGATATAGCGCTATACCTGCATGCCTTTAAGGGCACCCTTAGCGGCGTAGGCCTATACTAGATAATTTTCCTTATTCTTTAGCTTAGGAATATTGCTTATATAAGCGTTAGCGGTAGTAGGGGGAGCTATTGCTAATAGCGACGGCGATAATATAGAAAGAGACTATAGACTTGTCTTAAGAACGTAATAAGGCCGCCGATAGGCGCGCCTATATTGTACTAGTATAGCGGATAGCCGACACTATTGTTATGTAACCGACTCGAGTTAGGACTAGCACCTACTAGAATACTCGAGGGTAGCGAGGGTAGCGGCGATAATATTAGTATCGGTATAATTATTAGTAACGAGCGCTAGCTACGCAGTAGTCGGAGTAACTATTAGAATACGTATTGAACGTGTTGTGCGCGTTGGAAACGCAGGGGGCTTATAACCACTTAATGTAACTAATGATTTAGAAGAGGGCTAATCTACAGAAAGCCCAAAGATGAAGTGTGCACAGTTGCAGCCTTAGGCATCATGCACGTGATAGCCAGCCACACACACACTCTCCAAGTGTGTCAAGTCAGTTGTTTGTCACTTCTATAGATTGCATGTCTGGATCTTTAATGCAGTTCCCGTCTCAGCTGTCCTTTCGTTCTGAAATCGACTGCGCTTTAAGCTCGTGGTGATCAGATGCGCAGTGATATGTGATCCAGTCGCCCCCCCACATGCAGCCTTCGTTCGAGGCGCGTGCTTTTTTGCGCGCAGTATGCATGCTTTCTCCTCATTGAACTGATAGATCCGATGCTGTCACATGGATCTTACTGATCAAGCAGTACCATCCTGCTCTGGCAGTGATCATGTGGTTGCTTGAAATCAGCTGAGGCTGTCCAAAGGCGTGTGATTTGGCCTCGTTCGCTGTAAGACTTCATCGTGCCCTGAGACCTGCCCAAGGATTCTCGAGAAAGCTTGGGAGAAAGTAGACCATGTCGCCTTTGGTGTTTCGCACGCCATATCGAAGACTTTCCAAGTTCGGACTTTCTTGTGTTTTGGGATCGTAGGGCACCAGAGTCGTGCCGCGCTGCAAGTTTTCAAAGCTCTCACTTCCCTGGACGACTTTGACAGTCTTGTGATCTCTCATCGGCATGCTATTGGCACCTGTAGCTGATGGAGCTTTGCCGACGAAGCCATCATTGGAGTCGAACTTGCGCTTTCCTTTGGTCTGAGAGCCGAAGCCGCCGAAGCCCATCGCAGCCGCGATGTCCGGGTCCACATCAAAATTGCTTTCTGGGTCCATCTTTGCGGGAATGACGGGTTTTCGCGTTGATGTTGTGTTGATGTTGCGATTGGAAAGTGGAACGCGCCACAGTTCGAGTCGTCGAAGTCGCGATCAAAAGTCTTGGCAACACTTCAAAAGAGAATCAAATACTATTTCTTCTAAACAATAAGCTGCAAGTCTCGATACTGTCGATCAATCTATCTGCCGTACTTTGATGGAATCGTCTTCATTTGATCAGCTGGATTACCTTGAAGGCCAAGAAGATCATAGATCCATTTCAAAATGATAAAGAATGACTCTGGCTCGCCCATGTGCTTTCTGTCTGCAACGAAGCGGACCTCTTTCGGCGGGCCATGCTGTAGCGCAAGGTAGTAATCATCGATTGGGAAAATCTCATCATTCACACCATTCACAAGCAACAGCTTAGTACACACTGGCTTGTCCAGAGTGCCATCCTCCAGCAGACTGAACTTCATCGCCTCTTTCTTGAATTTCTCCAAGTCATCTCCATAACCAAACTTGTATGCCAAGGTTGTGGCAAGGTCAAATGGATACTCCAGATGATTGACGCACGACAACCACTCCTTGTCGAACATATAGTGGCAGCCCCCACCGAGTGACACAACTCCAGTAAGCCTGTTTGGATGAGTATAGGCTACTCGGAGGGCATAGAATCCACCAGTGCTGAAAGCCCACAAAGCCTTCCGAGTCTGGTCAATCTCGGCTTGAGCATCGATCCAGTCAAATAGGGAAGAGAATGCGCGGTCAGGACTGGTGGGATCACTAGGATCGGCGGGAGAGTCTCCTGTACCCGGAATCTCCAGAATCATTACAGCAACACCTTTCTGCGACCACCCTTCGATCCAGACTGCGAGCTCAGTCCGGTACCCATCAAGTCCGGTCAGAATTATCACAAGCGGAACAGAATTATCTGCCGAAGTGCCTGGCGGCAAGTGGTAGTACACTGGAATCTCCTTTCCTTCATGTGGAAGACCATGCTTGTGTGGGATGAGGACTTCGTTCGTAGGTCTATCTCGCAAAAGGAGGCCTTTCTGAGCAGCTTTCTTCCCTTCTAACCAAGCATGCCGCTGCTTCTCTGATCGAGGGGCTGGAAAGCGCGAGATGCGGTAGACGGCACTTGCTCGCATATAGTACTCAGAAGCCTTTGCCTTGTCACCTGCCTTCTCCGCCTTGTCGGCCTCTGCGAGCAGTTCTTCAGCCTTGGGTACAAACGCTTCGGCATACTTGTCCCAGTCATACGGCTCTCTGTGTCCCTCTTCGATCAGTCTTTCTGCAATAGGCACGAAATCTTCGTGTGCATTAAACATGAAAGGATACAGGCCGAGCTTGCTGGGCTGCTCCCACTTGGTCTTCCACAATGCTTCGAAGCTTTCATGGTGCTTAGCGGGTGTGCTCAAGGCATGCTGAATGAAGAACTTGCCGCCAGGTGCTGCCATGGTCCGAACACGTTCTGTTGTTGGTGGTAACAGAAGCGGTGGATGCTCAAGGCGCGTCCAACGTCCACAATGGCCCCACATTGGCAGCTTGGGTCGTCATGATTCGCTACCTCCTTCTCAGGCTCTTCATAGTGACTTCTTCCGCCACGCACGCACCTTCCATACTGTAGATTGCCATCACTTTCATTCTCTTTATAGTTTAGCGGCTTGAAGAAGTCTTCTGTAAAGAGCCTGAGGACAAATGTCGCAAAGCGAGCCATTCTAACCTTATGAGTATACAGTCTGGATTGAGTAACTCAACAACTACGCATTATCACCAAAAGTCATATTAGAATCGCACCTAGCTATCATTGCAACGAGGAAGACTTCTCATACATTGATGAGTATATCTGCAAAGCTGCACAAATGAAAACTACAAAACACCGTGTCTACAGAAACGTTATAATTCAGCCAGCTTCCTCGCAGGCTTGAGAACAACAGGTACCAAACCTCAACCTGCGAGACAAAGATATGAGCTTGCTCAGAATAATCGGCTCTACAAGCTCTAGCCCTTCGTATGATCCAGATTGGCCGTGCAAGGAGTAGTAAGCAGGTGCAGTATCAGTTAAAGATCAGTGTGGAAGGTGCGTATTGTGCCTGCCTCTGCTACTTGCGTTCAACTAGGAAGGGGCTGAAACGGAGATAGATGATTCGTTGAGTGGAGACCCCAGGAAAATGGCGGTCCAATCTTTCCAACGACTGCAACTTCGCTCTTCATCACGAGTCACGCCATTCGCGTACATCCTTCACATCCGTCTCGACAATTATTGCGCAGAGCCAGACAAGCCGGAGACACCCGTTCACTTACCATAACACTCCTCGCGCAGGGTGGGCGAGGCAGATTTGCGCGAGAGCTCGGCAGCATGAGTGCAAAGACTCCCGTCGCAGCCATATTCGATGCACTGAAAGGCTCCTGGAGGCTTCGGCGGTCCTTGAACAGCAGCCTTTCGGGCTTTCCTTCCGGCACGTTCGAAGGCGTTGCTACCTTCACGCCGCGAACACCAACAGCACATTCATCCGCCGGAGAGCTTGTATACGCAGAACGAGGGGAGCTCAAAACTGATAATGGCTTTACGCTGAAGGCAAATCGGAAGTATGTATACAGATACAGTGCCGATGAGGACAAAATCAGTGCCTGGTTCGTCAAGGAAGACACCAAAGCCGAGGACGGCAAGGAAGAAGTTGATTATCTTTTCCATGATCTTGAGGTCTCTTCTGAAGCTGGAGCTCTCACTGGCCGAGGCGAACATCTTTGCCAGCTTGACATGTACTGGGCTTACTACGAGTTCAGAATCCCCGAGAGCGGCGAGATGGATGTTTTTGGAGTACGCTACAAGGTGAAGGGCCCCGAGAAGGACTACACCAGTGACACCGCGTACGAGAGGACCTTCTCCAGTGATGTGGCGGTTCTGTGAGAATGAAGCCGCGTTGAGTTCCGGCAGCCTTCACTGTAGGTCAGCACCACGATCCGTGTCCTATACAGCTTCTCTCCTTATTGCATAGCTCATGTTTGCAAAGCATATTCATCGTGGTAAAACGCAGAGATATGTTTCTCGCTAAGGTGCTCCCTGACCAGCATCTCATCGGTCTCTGCACAGTCCTGCATCATGACCTCCCCATTCGAGGACGTATTGGCAGGCGACAAGGGCCAGATTCGCTCAACTCTCTTCAACTTCCTGAATGACGGCGCTTCCCTCTATCAACTGCGATCAGTGTCTCGCACACTGAAGAGCGTCGTCGACAGCTGCCCGATGGGCCTCTTCCGGCAGCTATATATCCATTTGCCTTTTCCGAAGCCACAGGCAATTAGCGAACCTGCTGGTGTACTCGCATCTCAGACACCTCGCAATGGCAAGAAGAAATCCACGAAATACATGATCTCCCACAATCTGCCAAGCCTTTGGAATATTGCTCCACTGTGCACCTCTCTCACGATAAAGGTCATGTACGGTACATCCCGGTCGCCATACGAGCTCGGCGACTCACTAGCACGCGTCAAAATGGTACAAAAAACGGCGGAGAAACGGCGCACATCCATGAATTCATTGCAGAGAAGGATGTGGAAAGCACGTCACGAGCCATATCAGGAACCTGAAAATTCCATGGCCTTGACCGTGCCTCAACAGGAAACGATGTCACACGACGAGTGGACACTGGATCTATACAATTGGGAGAGTATCTTTCGCTCATTGAGACGCCTCGTCCAGCTTACCCTCTCCGTCAATGGCGATCCAGCTTGGCCTGGCCGCACAAATGTAGAGCAACTCGTCAACATGCTGCGCATAGGCTTAGAGCGTGGGCAGCCGCCGAACCTCAGGACGATCACCCTGGACCCGATACACGCTGCAGGCTTGATTCACCTTCGCTGGAATGGCTTCGCGGCTTTTGTGGAGAGACCTTTCCGTCCACCACACGATAGTGCCGGCATCCCTCCACCACGACACAATGCTGAAATTTGGACCAAACTCATGACGCTGGACCTTAGGATACGCAACCCCACAGCTACAAAATCGCTGACTATCAACCAAACGACCATGACACTGAAGCTGCTGGAGGATTATTTGCGAAGCTTCTCCCGCAACCTGCGATGCTTGCGCTTCATCTGGCTTGATGCTGCCGGACCAAGCCCGTTAGCACTTGACGAACAAGAATCCTTGCAAGAGCGTCGCTCAATCACCTGGCCAAGACTCGCAGAGCTTTGCCTGGGCAATACTACAGAGCTAGACCACACAATCGAATTACTACCAGTGCTGGCGCCAAATGTGACAACATTCAAAGTTCTTCGTGATTCTTTCTGCTCTGTTCGGACCATTCCGCAATCGTCGAAAGTATGGATGACTGCATTTGACCGATCCTCTGGCCAAATTCACCCTGCAATCGTGACGGCATCCAGCAGAAACGTTTCGAATCACAGAAAGTCTCTCCTAGCAAGACGAAAGGTGCCAGCATTCTCATTGAACAGGCCGTTCTCTCAAGCTTCTGCGGTTCCCCCTGCCCTCAGCATTCCCGAGAAGCTAGCAAAGAAAACTGTGATAGTCAGAAAGTGGGTGCCCCATCCCGCTTTCAGACCCACCGCCAGGACCTCTGAAAGTAAAAATCAGCGGCTTAGTACGGGCGATCCAGACTTACTCACTCCGAGACCCTTCGAAAGCTCAACATCCAGCTTAGCCGGTACAGAACCAAGTATGAATGGCCTCGCGAGCGTAAATGAAGAGCTCACCGCCGACCTCACGAATATGCTGGACTATGAGGACGTAGACACGGGAACAAGATCTGCTTATACTCCTTCGCAAAGTCCCTCAATCGTACGCAAGTATTCTGCTTTCAACAATGCCCTCACATCCTATGCAAACCAGCGTAGCACCTCCGTGCAACGAAAGCAAGTCGAAGCTCCAAGCGTGACGGGAGTGCCATCAAGCCCCAGGCGATTGGTAAAGCACGTACCCCTTTCTAGCGCTGTCGCCGAATACGAGCAGAGATGGCAACAATCATTGCCGCAAAAGCAGTCTCGGGGCCGAGAGCCGCCGCCTGTCCCGTCAATGATCTCTCCAGCACTCGAAACGTGTAGTTTCAATAGTGACTTGCCTTCGAACTCCGGCCTTCTGAGAATTCCCGGAGACACACGATGGTCTCTATCATCGCCTACCAGCTACTATTCGAGCGAAGACACGGAACCAAACGCGGTCGATGCTACTTTGAAACCCAGGATTCCCAGCAGTGTCGACAGCCAGGAAAACGGTTGGATTCACCTCAGAGAGAGCATCGCGACCGCGAGCTCAGTTGCAAGCAGACCTCTTAGCAAATTCATGTCAGCTTTGAGGCGGGATGGAGCGCCACCGAAGATCCGGAAGTGACGCGAAGATATCTGCAACGTCAGGAGTGTTCGGCAGCATTCATTCAGCAGACGACCAATGGTTTCGAAGTTTATATAGGGCTTTGTGTGGATTTCTTCTGAGCGCTTGTCTATGTGGGAAAGCAATCCAAAGCTGATTTCAAAAGGCCTGCCTCCTGGCGTTGTTCGAAATCTGTGGGCTACTACCTAGCACATACTCATCCCTTCACGATGTCTAACCAAAAAGACAAGAAACAAGACGTTGCGACAGCACAGCCCTCACTGCAGGAGTTGCTTAATCCAAAGGGAAAGGCAACCACTTCGAACCGAGATTCACAATTCGATAGCATCTTTGGACGCCCAACAGTCTACAGCGAAGCAGCCGAACGCGAAAAGAGAGACACCGCAGCAGGTGCACGCGAGAAAGCATGATCTGAGATTGACATCAAGTTGAGAGATGTCAATTACCAGATTCAGGCAGTCTCTGAGGAATTTCGGAGAGCAAGCTTCTCTTACACGCCAGGCCACTCAGGGATAGACCGTTATGAGAATCAGATCAATGTGTTGAATGAGAAGCGGGCAGCATTGCTTCGAGAGAAAGAAGATGTCTAGGATGGTCGGAAGGCAGAAGGTTGTTTGTGTAGTAGCATAGAGCATAGAACTTTCTGCTCGTGTTATGTAGCAAACTCAATTCGAACTTGAGTGGTTCGTGGTCTTCTCCTCATCTCAGACTCTATTGACAGCCTATCAGCCACAAAAGCACCATGTCAAATAGTAACCGAAGCGTTTCCGGTCGGATGACCGCATACAGTGCGAAGCTTGAACAAGAGAGGCTGAATCAAGAAGCATTGCTTCGATCTACGCACGAACAAATGCTACACGAATTCAGCGTTTCAATGGAATGAGACATTAAAGCAACGAGACACCGAAGCCGCCAAAACCAAAGCTTGTGCGAAGGCTGGTGAAGAAGACCCCGAGAAGAAGGCCTAGAACTCGCCAAAGCCGTCGACCAGATGGCCAGGCACATTGCCAGGAATGACGCAGGTATCCACGATCTGACGCAGAATCTGGAGAAGAGCTGCATCAGATGTACGAAGGCGAAGAGCCATTCGAGGACCTCAAAGATCACATTAATAGGATGCGAGCGGATCTCAAGGCGCTGCGTAAAGAGAGGGAAGAGTCCGTTCAGAAGGGGCGGGCACTCACTCATGAGTCTTGGTCAAGGGATGAAGGTGCGTAGTATGCGGCTCTGGGGTGCAGGTCTCGGCTGCATACAATGGGTATCATGTCCTTACTAGCTGTTGCAATGCCTAGCTCTCTACAACCGAGTTAGCAAGCACGTCCTCCCCAAACGCGTTCCTCGCTACCTCTAGCGCTTGCCCTTTGCGAGAGAGAGGCGCGATGCTGCAATCCAACGCACTCAGCTTCTGTCTGATATCATTATCAAGGCCTCTTTCGAGATGCATCCTATCCTTCTCAGCCACCTTTGCGTGGTCCAGTCGGCGTCGCAGTCTTCCTCTGGCTATCCTGCCTCTCTCTGAGCTTCCTCTTCTCGCCTTCCAATACCTTCTTCGTCCGGTTCAAGACATCCTGTTTGCCAGCAGCTGCAGTACAGTCTGCGACGTCGTATGGCTCTTTAATGATCACGGCTTCGTGAGCAATGATCTGCGTATTGTGCCAGCGGACTGGAACATTGCTATCCCGTATGTTAGCCTGCGCATTGGTATCAATGCATGATATGTATGCTTACACTCTCCTCAAGGCGTCATAAATCGCCTGTCCCTCCGCGCTGACATGCTGGTTTTTATGCAGTTTCTCTGCTTTGAGCTCTTCGATCCTCTTCCTCTCCCGTTGCTCAAGAAATTTGTGGTCTACCGGTCCAATAGGTAGGAGGGCGCTTGCGAGACCAGCTTCCAGGGGTGCGGAAAGAACAGCGAACTTGTCGATTCTGCCGAATGGAATGACGGTGTAGTCTCCTGTCTGCGTGGTCTGCTGCTGAGCGCGAGTATTGATAACGACTAGGCTCAAAGTCGGGTCTGCGGTGAAAAGGGTGCCCTCGTATTGGGCGGTAGGCGCTGTGGTTGTGATTCTCACTCTGGTTTGCGGACTTGCGTCAGCCATTGAAAGCATGGATATATGTGTAGCCTTCACTCCTCACCTGGCTCCCATAGCCTTCTCTAAGGCCTCATTGCCATTGTCTGGCGTGGGTGTAGCCGACTTTGGCGTTGCGACTTGAGCTTTGTTTCCTGTTACTGCCACGCTGTTCCGCTTCGTGGCATCCGCCATCATACAATTTGCAGAAAATGCTCTGAAGCTCGTTGCCAAAGTCTTCTACAGTATGCTCCTGGGTATCTTAGCGCCTAGCTCCTGCGTACCGTCTATGGCAATCCCCTGAGATCTGAGTATGGCAGTAAGGCCACGCTTAGCCGCGGAACTCGCGTGCTACGGGTACATCCAGGATTGGGGTTGGAAAAGCAGAGCTAACGAGTGACGAGAATGGTATTCCTCCTATTGCACAGCTTCGAAATCGCTTGACAAGGTGTTCTGATGGCGCGAGAGAGAATGTTACAACATTGCTGCTGTTGCGCGGTCTTGGAGTTGGCGGGTAGGCGGGTAGGCGGGTAGGCAGGACCTGGCCTGACGTACACACGGGCCCGTGGCTTGACTTGGCGCTTGCTACAAACATTATATGTGAGTTCTAACCTATCTCCACTCAGACTAGTAACAAAGGGTTGTTGGTATAGCTACATACCAACTTAGTCACTATAAGCCACTATAGAAATAAACTCCCGTATAGACTATATAATACCCTTTATTACTAGTCTAATCCGCTTCTATCGGGATTTAGTACGCGTATATAAATAAAACGACTCGAATTTTTTTTAAAGAAAGAATACGCAATACCTAGACCGAAATTCGAAAATCCGCTATAGTAGCGACCTAGATAATACTTTATATATACTAATTACTATTTTTTATTCCTTAGACGATAGCCCTATTTAGGAAAATCGAATATAATCTAAAAACCGAATACGCTCGGCTATATAGAAGGCTACTCCGTACCGCGACAACTATAACGATAAGAATACGTACTATTTAGACCGTAATTTAAAAAAGTACTACTAGGTAGGCCTAGATAATTATATTATCTAGAGCCGCTACTATATATTATATATTAATTTGTATTCCTATATAAACAGCTAAGATACGATAGAAACGGCCTAGACTAGAGATAGGATCTCTATAATCTAAACGCTAATTGGCTATACGCTACACTTTAGCTACATACTATGCTACACACTATACTACACACACATACCAAAATACTACCTACCTATATACCCTCAAATAATCCTATCTCTGGTCTGGTCTCGAGATAGGTTCTAACTGCATGTGCACTCCTCAACCACATCCGTCCCCTTAGTCTCCGTCACAAACAACATTCTCTGGCCGGCCAGTCGTCTGAGATGCTCACCGATGAATCTTCGGTAGCTGTCTTGTAGTGACCATGGCATACATGTCGCTCAAGTTTTCGGTTGGTCGTGTCCATGTTGGATAAGCGCCTATGCGAGCGTTCTGGAACACAGACACGCCATTATCGAACCCAGGATCGGGAACCCCCCATCTTTCGGCACATATTCGCTGCCGCAAGCAATCAATTTATTAGGGGAAAGGCTTGACGAAGCGTATGGGAGGAAGCCAAGACGGCTAAGATTCTTGGTACCGAGAGAATGCATGAGGGCTCCCGAATACGATTCGACTTCATTCATATCCGGACTTATCCGGTCTATTGCTCATACGTTCTCTGCATGTTGCGCTGCCATAAGACTTTCCAAATTTGGTCGTCCTCATTGATATTCGGGCCTTCATGGGCGCCGATTAATTGCACAAGCTTAGGGTATAAGTTGCTACGCCTCGAGGCCAGACTTCTTGATATAGAAGACTAGTCATATCACAAGATCACATCTTACCAGCGGTGCCAAGCTGCTGTCAGCAACTCACGCCTCCCACGCCACCTTGGAACTGCATGTTCATATCATTAATGAACCCAAAATTGGGGTCTGTAGCTTGACCCAGATAAGACCAGTCGGCATAAGTTTGAGGAATCGGCCCGTAAGCATAGTCTTGCCAAGTATCGTCAGGCTGGTCCTTAGCATCTCTATCCTCGTCGGAAACGCCTTTTAGCACGATATCGTGGACCGAAACGGGGCACGTAAGGATCGAAGGATCTAGTCCGGCCATCTCCCAGGCCCTATCCTATGTCAGCGGCCGCATCATACTCCCAATTTGGTTTGTACATACCTGTCACGGGCTCGCCGGAGAAATCGCCACGCTTGCGTGCCTCCAGCTTGCAGAGGTCGAGGGTCCGGGTTGCCATCCTCATGTGAGACGATGCCGCAGTCGTCAGATCCAATGCATTTGTAGATGGCCAAGTCGACTAGTTTTCGTGTCTCTGCTGCTTCAGAATCGTGGGGGTGATCTTCTAGATCTGAAATTAAAGCCATGATGCTGTGCAATGGCTGGTGTTGACCTGGCCAGCACCAATGCCATGGCTGGAAATCTCGTCTTTCTGCCAGTCTCAGGAATCGATGAACGTATTCGCGACAGAAGACAATCACGCTGAACAACAGTCAGCAGGGTCTCAATAGCCATGATTATAAGTCTGCATACTTTGGTTCCTTCTTTCGCAAAGCAGCCAGCAAACCATGTCTCCTCATAGGTCCATACATTACTGAATACGGCTTTGCTGCCCACAGAGCAAAGAGCATCTTTGCGAACTGTGCAAGAGCCGCATTGGATTCTGTATGCCGTATAGCATCGATATCAGTGCCATCGGAAGCTTCAGGCTGAGTCGTCATCTTCTCAATAGATATGATTTGCTCTTTCCTTGAATCCATATCCGCTTTGACAGCTCTCGTAATCTCCAGTATGCGATCCAGATCGACTTCGGCCAGTAGGCTGCTGTGTAGTAAGTGAAGAATCTCGTTGCCCTTCTTATAAAAGGCAAAGCGACCTCCAATAAAGATTCCGAGAATGGACTTGTTGGCATTGCCATGTGTCTCAAAGTCGTCTCGAATAGCAGCTGCGCTCAGCTCGCTCACTGGCAGCACGTTGTACAATCTGCAGTCAATGATCGGAGGAAGTCCAGAGGCGAAAGCGACTTGAGCATCGATCGACACTATCGACCACCAGATTTGCCGTCTGATGTGTACATCTACCGGAGAGAAGTGTCCGAATGTGGTAGGCTCTTTATGAAGTCCTGCGCCAAGTCAGCGCCTCCCACTCGATGAAGTGATGGTAATACTATCCTACCTAGCATTTGGGCTACACGTGTCGCCACACCAATGAACGAGCAGCAAGTGAGAGGCTGCTCTTCTCGCAGCCATGTAGAATCCACTATGATGAAAGCTGACAAGGACTGTAACGATGGAGATTGTGGAAATTCTGAGAGTCTGATCGCACGAATGGCTCTTCGATACAGCCTTGATGTCAAGGTCTCGCGACTCACATTTCCGAATACTGTCTGGAGACGGTATCTCGGACAGACGACAGAACCGGCGAAAAGTACGGCGGTCAGAAGGGAGAAGAAGTGCACGCTGAGTGCATAGTTCGGATCTCGGGTGTCGAGCCTGCGGAGAGAGTGAGAGGTGGAAAGGGTGTGATCGCGACGTCGACTTACCAGCGCTGAAATTTCCTCACTTGGACTAGAAATGTCGGACCATGGAAGAGCGATCTCTTGGCATGATAGCCACCCATATATGACCATATTAGTACTTCGCTCTGCTCTTTGCTTGGCAGGCCTGCCAAGATCTCATCTATTGACGGAGCTTGAGACGTCAAGAGAGTGCTGTCTTGCGGCGTCCATGCGGGAATATTCGGAAAGAGGTCGCCGTAGAGTTCTCGCTCGGGATTGTCTGGCGTTGCTCCATTCGACTCGCAGCTTGAATCATATTGTGTCGAGGTTAATGGCGGTGAGCTGGGAAATGTTTGTCCAATAGGACCGCCAAGCTGCTGCTTCTGAGATTGCTGTTGCTGTTGCAATTTTACCCCCACAACTCCAGGACGAGTGTATCCACGATGATCACGGAGCAGATCATTGATTGCTGCCACCTAGACATAGTCAGCTCTGCGCAGAGAGACGGATTCTCGCACACCTGGCGTGAATGCAATCTGTTCTAACTCAAGGCTCTCTAGAGTATGCTGACCTCCTGACTTATCAGCGCAAAGTGAGCGCTCGAGATGTAGTGGCCTTTGGTATGAGGCCCAACATAAAGGTGTCCCGTGTCTCTGCTAGGTGTCGTGCTTTCCCTTTTGGCTGGTTGAGTGGTGGTGCTCGGAACTGGAGTATGATCTTTCGTCCGACTTTTCGCTTCTAGTTGAGCTCAGAATACCATCCTAGGTGATTCTAGAGGTATGGATAGCATACCGGTACTTGTGGAGCTTGGTGTCTGGTTTGGTTCGATGCTTGCGGCTTGAGTGAGCTGGTATAGTCTGCTTGCTCTGGAGGCTAGAGATGGTGTTTCATCTGTCAGAAGTCAGTCGGGCGTCCATTGAGCATACACGACAATAGCTCCGTACCGATCACAGTCAGTGGCACCGGTGTCGATCGAGTGGCGGCATACTGGCAGTCTATGCCGGCCCGAGCGCATCTTCCACATACCGGTCTGGTCTGCGTACCCGCTTAGCACAGTATGCAGCACGCAAAGATGCGGAAGTGCTACGGACCTTGTCGCACCCAACCTTTCTCCTGCCGCAAGGCACGCACGATCTTGGCGCTCGTGGTCGCGATGGCTTCGTGATCTTTGGGTGCGAAGACATCAAAAATATGGACTTAAAAGCTACTTCGCTGAGATGGCGGTCGTACACTCTTCGGTGCTTGTTCTAGAAAATGCCTAGAATACGGATCTCCGGCCCGACAGCAAACTTTATCGCCATGCCCGAATGCCCTACCTCCTCTCAGGCGCTCCGAGTGTTGTAGATTCTTCCACGTGATTCTGTATCCTTAGGCATCGACACTAACCACATTGGGTATGGAGAAAGCTACAGCGGAGCGCCTAAAGTCAAACCGGGCTACCTATATACACCTAATTATTGTTTAGTTTACGAAGATTAAATATAGCGTCGTAACTACGCAAAATAGCGGTTTGCATCCGCGGGCGTAGCTATACGTTTTAATATAATCTGTTAGATTGCCTATACAAAGTAGTCGCGAAAATGTTAATATAAAGATTAATTCTTAGTCTTCTAAGACGAGGTAATTATTATTCCCGTTTGCTATCTACCTTACCTAGTATTACTTACCTACAAACGGTATATATAGCGCTAAACAAAGCACGTACAGTCCGTCGCATTAACTACCTCTCTAATCTCCGTACTTTAGAATACCTAAAAAGTATTGCTATTGCCTTTATCTTGCTATCTAGGGCTACGCGCTATACTCTTTACCGTTTGTTTCTACTATTATAGCGACTACAACTGTCTAGCGCTTATATATATATATATACACGCGCGCGCGCGCGCTAGCTGCTTCGTGTGTATTCTAAGTTCGAGTTCGACCTTGCTATCGCTACCGCCGCCGCCGCCGCCGCCGCTTAAAGGATTTAGAAGCCTAGCTCTAAACAGATACTAATATTAATACCCGCGCTAGCACTAGCATTAACCTACTCGAGTCTATTATCCTAGTTATATCTCTTTCTTGCCGCCGCCGCCGCCGCCGCCGTATCTATTACCGACAATAATACTACTAAAATTAGGTAGTAGCGAGAAGCAGCGCCGCGCCTAGGCAAAGAAAGACAAGGCAGCGAAGAAAGCAGCTTCGAAGAAAGACAGCTAGCCTATCGGACCTAAGCTACTAGGTCGCGCTACCGTTAGTCGAGAATCGCTAGACTTTAGCTATTTACTACTAGTCGAGTAGCTAGCTAGAAAGAGTAAATACAAAGCCTAGTTCTAGCAGCGCTGCGATAAGATCTTCGATCCTGCGACATTACTTAAGCAAGTATAGCAATTAGTCTACGATGCGATGCGTACCTTAGAAGCTGTTAATATATATCGCGATATCGTTACCTAAGGACTATAAAAGGTTCTCGATAAGATATATCTAGGCAAGGGCTATATACTAAAGGAATCCTAGATCTATAGTGTCTAGGCTCTCGTATTTGCCTACTCTAATATAATAATAATAGCGAAGACTAGCGAAGGTAAGAGTTTGCCTTTTTAGGCCTTTAGCCTATTAACAGGTATAGTAGTTATTAAGATTACACTATTAAATCGTCTCGGTAAGGAGTATATAGAGGATGTACGCGAGACTGCTCGACAAGCTAACTACCTAATTAATATAGTTAATATTACCGTAGAGAATAAGAGTATAGATCGTAACCTGTTTTAGAAGATTATAGATAGCAAGGTCCACTATATTATCCTTAGTCTAGAAACTGCAGCTAGCGAGGACTTCCGAGCTATTATTCGAGACCTAAAGGCCCGGGCTCGAATTAGTTTAGTTATAATCGACGAGATGCACCTAGTAGCGAAGTAGAAGGAATTTCGCAAGGAATATGCCTAGATCTTCTCTCTGCGGAAGCTGCTACGCACCGATACGGTATAGTTAGGCTGTTCTGCTACTAGTAAGTAGATCGAGCTAAGCTAAGCTAAACTGAACTAAACTAAGCTAAGCTAACTATCGCTAGTGTCTAAGGAAATAGAGGAATTTATAGCTAAGAATAGTAGCTTCCGACCTCTTAGAAATAAACCGTATAAGACTAAGGTTCTCCGTAGTAGTATTAATCGACTAGACACTACATACATCCTACGCACTATTAACAAGGACGAGCTTAGCTACTACGACTACTTGTACTTCGTAGTTAATAATAGCGTCGGTCTAGAAAAGGAGGCGATACCTTAGGGCATTAAGAAGGCTCTACTATTTATCGATAGTCGGAAGTCGGTCTAAGAGCTCGCTAATACTATTCGTAGCTAGCTTATTGCCGCGACTACTAAATGCACCAATCCGAAGAAGCGATATACCTAGGATAATAAGGGCGTTAATATATATACTACTGTCTTATTCTATACTAGTAGTATAGCTAAGCGCGACTAGACCCGTCGATATAAGTAATACAGCCGTACTATAGATAGCCCCGATAGTCTATCGAACATTCGCATTATAATCGCGACGACTACGTTTAGCGTCGGTCTAAATATTCTAGATATTAAGATTGTCGCCTAGGTTAAGTATCCGATTACTCGAGACATTAAGGATCTAATATAGCGGCTTAGTCGTGTTAGTCGTGCCCTTCTATAGTAGAGCAAGCGAAGTGTAGCCTTAGTCTTCTTACTATACCTAGTTAATAATAGTAAGAAGCAGCCTCGCCTAGACTCTTATTACTCGGCGATTCGAGTTAACACTCGAAAATCCTAATAGTATCGCTATACGCTAGGCCGTTCCTTAGGTCTATTACAATTATAGATCCCTAGAGAAGATGCTAATAGAGACAGCGATACGAGTGCTACTAGCGATATAGATACAGATACAGATACCAGTATAGATCCGCAGTATTAGACTAAAGCAGAGATAGCTGCCCGCGAGAAGATTCTAAAGATCTAGATGCATTTCTAGAACGATCGATATCGAGACTATAGTATCTACCCTCGTAAGGTAATCCTCTAGTACCTTAGCGAGGATAAGGTAATATATCTATAAAACCTACTATCGAGCGAGCACTACTATAATGCCTATAACCCTAACCTAGATCTCCTTTATAATAGTAGGCTACTAGTAGAAGCTATAGGTCCGATCTTCCGCAAGCTAGGAAATAGGACACGTCCGGCTATTGCCTTCTAGAAGCTATAGGCGTAGTTGTCTTCTAAGAATAACAAGTACCCGGAATAGACTTATCGTTGCATGTTTAACCTCCCGTTAAAGACTATTCTAGAAGACCGAAGACTCTAGAGTATATACAATGTATTTACTGCTACTAGCTAGTTCGAGCAATAGGAGAATATAGTCGTTAATTAGCGGCTACTTAAGCAGAAATCGGTAGAGTTTATCGACTAGTTTAAAGCTCTAAATATCGACTAGCGCCTATTTGCGTTGTATAAGCTAATTAATAAGATTAAGCGGGTTAGTACGAGTGTCTTTACTAAGTAGAAGGCTAGTCTTAACGCGAAAGCTAAGAAGCGCGCAGACAAACAATAAGCTATCGCTACTACTACTTCTACCGCTACTAGACTAATATCTAGTTCTTAATCCGCGGCCGGCCGATTATTGCTAAATCCTCCGATAGTATCTCTAGCGTAGCGCCTTGCTATATAGAACGCCGCGCGAAATGCCGTCTAGGCCGGTATTATAGAGTCCTTATATAGCGAGGCAGCGAGAATAGGTCTTTATATAAATCAGATCGAGAGAGCGACTACTGCTGCTTCCGGTCCTAGTGCCGGCCCTCGCCTATCTAGTCGTATAGTTAAGCTAAGGGTAGTACTTCTAGGCAATCTAGCCTCCGCATTTCTACCCGCTTCTGCCGTTACTACTAGCACTGCTCGTAGTCTAGACGATCCGCGTAATAAGCGTCCTACCTCTACAAGCCTAGCAACAAGCTAGGTACCTCGATATAGAGCGCGCCGGATTAATTAAGTTAAATCGGAGCGAGCTAAGAGAGCCGAGTAGTTATTAAGTACAGTTACTCGCACTACTAAGGAGAGAGGTAGCCGTAAGCTACGTAGGAACCGTACGCTATTAGAAGCTAGTCTCCGTCTTATAGGCTAGTTACTAGGTAGCTCGCCGACAGGATTACTAAGCCGTCGCCGCTAACTCTACCTAGTTAAGCTGCTTCTACGAGAGCTAGCGGTAAAATGGCGCTAGAATTAGCGGTAAAATGGCACTAGAATTAGCGGTAAAATAGCACTAGAATTGGCGGTAAAATAGCACTAGAATTAGCGCTAGAAATAGCACTAGAATTGGCGCTAGAAATGGCGCTAGAAATGGCACTAGAATTGGCGCTAGAAATAGCACTAGAATTGGCGCTAGAAATAGTACTAGGATAGCAGTAGAGTTAGCATTTAATAAGGTCCTTCCTTACTACCCTTCTATTATGTCCTTATAAGCTCGCTAAGTCCTTATCCTATCCTCGGAAAAGTAAGCTGTAATACTACGCTCGATCGCAGGTTGTATACTATACTATCTTCTAGATTAGATGTCGGTAGTAGCATTAAGCTGCTTCTACGAGAGCTAGCGTATAATGCCTAGTTTAGCTGCTTCTACGAGAGCTAGCGTGTAGTAGAGCTAGTGTATAGTAGAGCTAGCGTATAGTGCCTAGTTTAGCTGCTTCTACGAGAACTAGCGTGTAATGTAGGATGCCTAGTTAAGCTGCTCCTACGAGAGCCGGCGTGTAATATAGGATGCCTAGTTAAGCTGCTCCTACGAGAGCTAGCGTATAATGCCTAGTTAAGTTGCTTCTACGAGAGCTAGCGTATAATAAACTAGCTATAGCCTATACTAGAATTAGTACTAGCGCTAGAATTGGCGCTAGAATTAGCATTTAATAAGGTCCTTCCTTATGTCCTTATAAGCTCGCTAAGCAGGCTCTTCCATTATGTCCTTATAAGCTCGCTAAGCAGGCTTTTCTATTATGTTCTTTGCGACGAGGGTTTATAGATAGTCGTAGGTGTCGATAGCATACAAGAGCTAGAGGCGAGAAGCATAAATTCGAGGAAGCGACAAGGATGCTAAGTCCCGCTAAGACCCCGGATTTAGTATAGCAGAGCGCTTAATTAGTAGGATTAAACGTTATAGCTACTTCCTTCCGCGCATTTATAATACCGACTTTACGACTTTTACGACTTTTATAATAGCATATTACGAATGTAGCGAGATACGCCGATTGCGCGCATTTCTAGCAAATAGCGCTAACAAAAGTGTCTAATACGATAACGACGGCCGCCTTAGGCACTAAGAACCGCCTCCGAAACCCGAGAAGTTACTAGCGAGAAGTTACTAGCGAGAAGTTACTAGCTAGACTAGCGAGACTAGTACTATACTTATTGCACCGCATGCTCTTATAGACACTATAATATATACGGCAAGGATAGATACGTAGGGCGATAACATACATCGAGCGCTCGTAAAAGCACCCTTCGAGAAGCTACGACAGCCCTCTTATATTAACGCCCTCTATTGCTTAGACTCTCCCTAGAACGATTATTCCGATAACTAGTTACTATACAAGGCAGAGAAAACGAATAGTAGCGTCCGGGGATCTAATTAACTAGCGGCACTAAGCGGCTATAGAAGCACACACTCCGAAGTATACTAGCATTATATATAGCCTATATGCTACGCGTAATGCGTAACAATTAACGT